ATTGAAACCCAAGGCAATTTGCAGGGCAGCCATGAAAAAGCTGGTGGCAACACTCCGTTCCATCCCTCCTCACCACAGCCAAAGAGCAAAGAGCAGCAGAGACCCTGAACTCCTCCACGTGTGGCCAGCGCAGAAATCACTGCTGAAGGCATAACCAACAGGCCACCATCAGGCTACAAAGAATGGAAAAGCAGAATATGTAGCAAACAAATGTTACTGGAGTCAGTGGTGTGCTCACCGCAGTTGTCTGGGAAAAGCTTTGTGTTCTCTGCATATTTTTAAAGCTGGGGTTTAAAGCATGCAGTTTTGGAAGTTTTTACAGGTTGTCTTGAAGGTAGTCAGATTTAGCATAGGTACTGGAAGCAGGAGTTACCACTCTGTTCTGCCTTCTGCAGCTACATAAATCAGGGCAAAGTAGATTTTAGAACAATTATGTTAATGACAGCATTTAAAAATAATTTTGCACCATTTAATGTTGGCACCTACACACTATGTGGAAAAAAAATGGTCCTTTGTGAGCATTACCTCATATAGGTAACATTCATATTCTTACCTTAAAGAAGAGCAGGATGAGTAGAAGTAATGAGAAATTTAGCAGAGAAATACATTTATACCTGTAAAAAGTTTGCAGTCTAACTGTACCTGTTGAAAATGCTTTTCAACACTGAAGTCAGTGCATACAGTGCAAACCAAGTGGGTAAGAGGAAGAGCCACATGTGATTATGCGGCATCATTCAAGTGGTGATAGGTGTGATTCTTGCTCAGTGGTTTGGAAGGACTTGTCTTGAATTTTAGCATGTCTTCTTTTGAGCAGGATAAAATAACTTGTCCTAAAATGGCCAGCTCTCAGAACCAGACTACACATCCCATTTTTAGATGTGTTAAAACATCTTAAGCTCACCTGATATCTGACAGTTTTCCTGTAAACTAGAGTTAACACAAAACTAAAAATTCAGTCTGGGAAAATATTCTACTTCGCTAGTTTTGATGTACAGACATAAATTACGTTCATATCCTAGGTGAGTGCACTAAGCACTAGTGTTTAGGTTTTTGGTAGCTGGGGGTGGGCACCTGCACCATAAGCACTTTGCAGGGGCTGAAGAAGGGAAACTTCATGGCTGCCCTCATCCCTTTGTTCAGCCTGTGCCAGGCTCAGTGTGCCCGCAGGACATTGGTCTCTGAGGGGCTGATGCTCCTGGGGGTACCAGTGGCCCAGGGAAACCTCCATGGGGATGGAGGAAGCAGCCCAGCTTCCCCTTCTCCCAGTTTTCCCCTTTGCTAAAAGGTTTGGGATAAGTTTCCTATCTCTGTCATGCAAGACAGGGTTGTATCGAAAATCAGAAATAAGAGGCAGAGAGCGGAAAGAGTGGAAATTCTTAAACATTCCAGAAGTAATAATTGGTCTAAAAATAGTCACTTTCTTCATGAAGGGAGGAAAGAGGAGAATGAGGCCAGTGTTTCTGCTAGGTTTTATTTATTAAATTTGTGCCTCTTCAGCATCTGGGATAATGTGGCCATACAGTCCCTCTTTTTAACCAACCAGTCCAGTCACCACGCCAGACCTCCCTAGTGGGAGAGCTTAAGCCCAGCACAGTTGCACTCCCATCAGCTGCAGCTCTGCTTCTCGCCCTTGTGTCAGTCCATACTTGCACCCAGCCTGTGTCACTGCCATGCAGGCACAGATGGGCTGACACGGGGTCATACGATGGGTCTGGTGGATGGGATATGCGAGCAGAGAATGACGCCGTCCCCTACAGGGGTAAATCAAAGAGCTACGTAAGGTCCAATGCTCCCTTCTCAGTTTTCCTGCATCCTGGTTTTACAACAAACAGGCAAAATCCCAAATGGTTGTTGATTCAGGTAGTGTGAATATTTGAGGAGGGACATATGTTTGTTAAATGGAAGCTTCATAATGAATAAATAACAAAACAAAAAGTAATTAAATATTATTAATAGTATATCTCTAGATATACAGGTGACAGGTAGCTGGACCATGGTGTGGGGAATCTGATTTAAGGAGAATGGCATTTTCAACTGCTATTCCAGAATGCAACTCCTTATCTCACTAAAATAGTTACATATTTAGCTTCTCACTAGAAATTCTTAACACATTTCTTCATACAGAAAAGCTCTGAATAGCAGAATTCTTAATAGGAAGTATTACATTTAGTCATTTTGTGCTCATCATCTCTAAGTCATTGATCTTCCAGTGTATGGTCAATATCCTCTCCTCTACCATGGTTTGCTTGAAAACAGTATTTATTATATATACTTTTAACTATTATGAAAGCTTTGGTTAACTCTATAATGCAAGACTATATGCTTTAGCATAGCACAATATTGAAAGAAAACTACAGAAATCTGTACCTAAGAGCTTTTTCATGTGAAGTGTGACAAGGTATCTCTTTGCCTCATCTGTTTTTAATTCAGTGGCATGGAGTTAGTTTGTGGCATTTTTCACCTTTGTCCTTGCTTAGAATTTTTGTCAATTTCAGACTTGGAGCTTTTATTTTTTTTCTCATTTTAAGTTTCTTTCATAATGTAATGCGTTTTGTTTTGAATCCTTTTAGTTGGAAGTATCCCAGAACTGTATCACCAGTCTCTCTGTATTTACCTGTGAAGCAAAATTTTCCTCCAGAAGTTATAAAGCAGTTGCAGGTTAAACAAAAATGAACTTTCAGTATATACAGCAGGTCTTCCTGATATACTGGCAGTTATCTCTCACAGACATCCTTTCTGAGGCGTCTGTGCCTTACATCACCTCGTGGCCTACTGGATGGCAACAACAAACACCCATCTGTTCATATGTTCTTAGGACGGGTGCCTATGGAAAGGAAATCCCCGTAGATAAGAAACTGCATCAAATCAGAGAACAGCCAAGTCAATGGAAAATAACCCTAGATCTGCTTTATCTTTGTTGCAAACAAGTCAACACAGGATGGATGCCAGTAGCCCACATCTATCGGCAAATGAGAGACTGCACTGCATGTTAAAGGGCTCCCATGTCCAACACAAATGCTCTTTTCTCATTTAATTCCCTATCCTTTTTTCCCCTCCTCCCTGACAAAAAGCTGTTCAAACATGCCCGCTTTACAGGTGAGTTTAAGTGTAAGAAAAGCTAAGGCTCCCTGACTCCTCCAGGGCGCATCTTACCCTCCATTATGATGTAAGGTGGGCATCAGGGTAAGATGCACCCTGGAGTCTCCGATACCATAGTGGGAGGATGCCCTAGCTTTTCACATTCAGAACAGATCTGTACAAATAATCACTTGGAACATTTTTCTGCCTATAGTTCACTATGACTGTTATTTGGTTTTCATTTTTCAACCAGTTCCATTCAGGAATACAAAACAGAAAAGCGTAGCTCTTCTGCTGGCAGGAAGGAGACACCTACAAAGTTACATTTCTTTATTGAAACTTCAGGTGTTTGACAAAAAAAAAAATCCATATGCTATATGGCATATACATTTTCCTTACCTTAGCTAGCACGAGTGGGAAGGATGGGACAACATACCACAGTCCAGGTATATTTACAGCAAGCAGCTGCCCAACAATGGCAAAGAAATTCCCCACGATTTGGTGGGAGTTGCTCTCAGTCCAAGTGCAGACTGCAGCATCAGGAAGATTAAGCAGGTCCTGTGAAACTCTGTCTTCAGGGCTCGTTTTAAACTCCCTTTATGCATAAATTTTGTAATGAGATTGTTACAGCTTCTAGAAAATTAATCTATACTCGATTAATTCTTTCATCTCTACTTGAGGCATTAGCTGCTTCAGTGCCTCTCTTCTGTGTTGATTATCACACACATTGTCATTTTGGCTACCCACAAAAGAAGCCTTACCAGTTTTGTGATGCTTTCCTTCTCACTTCTCAAATACAAAGACACTTCCCAAATCCTCTCATTTTCCTTCTGTGACATTTCTTTGCATCAGAACAACCTGCCCTCATTAAAAGCTGCAACTACACATCCAGGTATCAGTCATTAACAGTTAATGAACAAAAATGTTCAGACAACCAATTTATCTCAGCTCAGTCAGGCACTTGATCTGCTCTGGACTCACCACACTGCATAAGAGTGCTCAATGACATAAAATGTGTGTTAACAAAGTCTGTATGTAACTTAAGTCTACAGAGCTTAGTTGTAGTGCAGGTCTTGCAGTGGTCAGGGAAGCACTCTCAACATCCAAAACAACTTATTTATATAGCCACACTTTATTAAAGTTTATGCAGCACTGTAGAAAAATTATAGTTTACTGGAACTGCAATGTGGCTATGAAAATAAGGGAGGTTTTGGATGTTCGAAGTCCTTTTCTACTGTGATGCCTAATTTCATTGGGGAGCAATAAATTAGGCATCTTTTGGGAATCTTCCCTGCCCAACAGCATCTGAGTAAAAAAGTTGCAGATTTGCAAATAAATAAAAAATTGTACACGAGACACAAAAATAACCTCTTGATCAACAGTTTGGCTTATTGCGATGCTCGGCACGCACTAACAATAGCTCCTGGCAGGCTCATACTCCTGCTCCCTGTGTATGCCAGAGCCCGGCTGTGAGACAGATCTCCATTGCTGCTACTATCCAGATTGAATCTAGCAAAGGTGTGTCTCCCCTTCACCAAAGCTTTACTCACTGTACAAATACTTTAAGACAAAAGAAACACACTGAATTGCGAGGGACTGGAGAAGAGTTAAAGAACAGAAAAGAGGGGGAAACACATCTGCCAAGTTGAAGGACTCGTACAGCAATCACTATGGGGAGGTTTGGGGGTTCATCCCTTTCACACCCATAGCACTCTCTTCTCTTAAGGTGGAGAGATGGTTTGCAATGTGTTGCTCCCAGAAATGTCCTCCCTGAATGAATCCTTCCTGTAGCTTTATGACAGGTGTAAATCAGACATGCCCAAATGCATGTTTGCAAGACCTGTCTGAAGAGAAATAGTTTCATAACCTGCAGATGTCAAGAACTGAGACAAAATAATGCAGCACACACCAGGCTGATTGTGGTTAACTAAGTTGCTTTTAGTTTATTAATTTTACCCATATACATAGTTGGTTTTGAAAACACCACGTGAAAGAGCTAAGACAAAGTGTAACAAAATGGTACAGGAAAAGATTTCAATATGCAATGTGCCAGTGTACCCACTGTGTTTTATACATACTTTACATTGGAAACAAAAAATCCCAGTTTTCAGAGGAAGTACCCATTTTATTTTGAACTGGCAAATTTAGTTTATTAATATGTAAAAAAATAAATCTACAATAGCAACAGTGCAAACACATCAGAACTTGCATGGCATACAGAACACAAATGAATAAAAATTATTATAGAAAGGGCCCAATGTTTCCCATGGTACTGGCTGTGACATGTACAACAAACAACAGAGTGAGGAACAAACTGCAGCATAAACAGGAAGATGAGCTGCATATTATTGGTTCTGTTTTGTATGGTCTCTCTATTTCAGGAGGTAAAGCTGTCATGCCTTGGATCTGCAATTAAAATAATAAAAAATTATCAGAGTTTTGTCAAGTAAGATTAGAAATCTGTATTTTGTTCCCTAACTAGTTGTCAGCTTGCATGAGAATCTATTGTTAGTTTTGTACTGGGGTTTTGACTCTCACTGTGATGACATCAAGCTCAGTAAAAATAGTAATGTATTGCACACCAAATGATCAGTCAGTATGCATATCCGTTGTTCTCAGCTCAGGAACAGCTGTACACATTGGCATCCTCTCCAGTAAAGCAAGGTTAGGCTGCTGTTGGTTGATTTGTATGACCTTATTTTGCTTTGTGGGATTTTTTGGTTGGTTTGGTTTTTGTTTTCATCTTTCTGGCAGATAAAAAGACAGTTAATTGTGCACAAATTTATTTCCCAGAATCATAGAGTGGTTGAGGTTGGAAGGGATCTCTGAAGGTCATCTGGTCCAATGATCCTGCTCAAGCAGGGCCACCTACCGCAGTGTCAAATTTCTACATACTGGGCATTTTTTACTCTCCCTTACAAATCAGGGCAATTTTTATGGCATTAGACACAACTACCTGCCTGTTTTGGCTTTGACATGAAATTGGAGAGATTTGGGTACACTGCTTGGCTATGCTTTTCCTAAATGTACTCTCTACACATTAAAGAAAAGAAGCTCTGCAAAAAGCGAGCCCTTGGGCACAAATATTTTTGAAAGTTTGAATCCCCACCCGCACAGCATGTGCTTGCTTTGGGTTTTTTCCATGTTTCAATTACCCTTCACTGCAGAAAAAAAAAAAATAAATATTGACTTAATCTTAGCAAACACAATGAAAGACTAACACTGATCAAGAGACCATCCCTACAAAAGGACAAAAGTATTTTCAACTCACTTCCTCTGCTTCAAGTTTTTTCCTTCTTGTAACAATTCACTGATTGCTTGGACATTCAGTTTAAATCTGTTCTTGATTTTGAGGAGGATGGCAAATTTAATGTAATATCACTAATAAGAGAAGGGAAAGGAAAGAGTCCTAATCTTAGCTTTGATGAATATGTCCTAGTCACTTGAAATAGGAAACTATGATTAAAAAGAACTAAGCACTCCCAGTTCCAGTGAGCTCACTCTTGAACTACGTTCTTTAAGTTGTGTTGTTCCACCATCCTGTAAGATAAAGGGGAACAGCATTTTCCAGAAAGCATAGAATTTTTTAAAAAAGAAGTCTATCCCCTCCTGATAAAACTTCTGTATGCTTTTCATCTTCTTAACTTGTCCTCTGGCAAATAATCAGTGAACGAGTGGCTATGCAACTGCTACTGGACAGCAGTTGCAACGGTCAAGTTTAACCAAGAATAGTGAATAGTCACATGTACTGTCAATAACTGCTTTTCACAGGAGGTTTGCAATGGGACAAATATCAGAAAAAAATGGAACCTCTTTGATTACTTAGAGCACACAGTATTTCATTGACATCCCACAGGCAGAACAGTCTGATCAATGTTGGAAAGACCCGAGAACACCACTGCAGGAAGGGCAATTTCTCCACCACCTGAAAGCACTGTGTGACCTGCTACAAGGCAGTGTGAGCTGTTTTGCGGGGTGAGGAGAATGAGACAAAGGTCCTTTCCTAGGAATTATTTCATCAGTAGTATCTGATATCAACTCTGTTAGGCTGGCCTAAAATCACAGTAGGAGATAAGCCAGCACTATGAGACAATCTCCCCTCCTGAGCAGAAAAGCTCAAAAAAGTAAAATGGAGTCTTGAATTTGGACTGTGTAAAGGAGTTCAAGGAGCAATATATATTTTTCAGCATCTCCTTCAAGGATGATATTACATGCACTAATAGTTCTTCATAAATACACATCAATACTAAAGAGGACAGTTTTTTCCCAGCAGTCCTGTTAAAATGCCAGTAGACATTTAGAATAAATAATAAGTTACTGTTGAATTATTTTTTATCATACAGTTTTTTTCATCAAGAGAATTTGGAAAGGAAAACTATAGAAGATAAAATCTTCCAAAGGTGGACAAAAGAAACATACAATCCAAGTGTACTTTTTTTGGCCCAATACTATAGACATTCCTAAAACACAAGACCAACGAAAGAGCAAGAGGTATTGGGAAAGTACTCATATAACTTTAGGTAGTCGAGATGCCTGAGTTAAGAATTTAGATTCTTTAGGCTTCCTTATACAGTCAATAAGTTTCCCCCTACAGAGTGACTTAGAGAAGAAATCTGGTTCAGGGATTTTGAATCACCCATCGCAAGACACTAACAAAAGTCCCTGACAATGGAGGTAGCCAAGGGAAAACAGCTTTCTAACTTGGTCACCTAATCTGAACACACACGGTTACCCTCTGATCAGTTCCACACACACTGAAAGACTCCATACTCCTAGTATTGATCCCAAGTGCTGATCTGAGCTTCAAGTTTTCTATTCTTTTTAAATACTTCCAGAACTTGAGTTAGAGGAAAGCATTGATAAAACATTCTCATCATTTGTTATTGTATGTACATGCAATATAGCCGTGTAAACAGTTTGAAGACATGCAACCAGGTACTTACTCCCACACAATGAAGCATAGTAAATCACACCTGTTTCATGGCATTTTTGCCTCCTTTTCAACACTTAGACTTACCGACCATTCTGCATTATCTGTTTTGGAACACCTCACATTCACTGGTAATTTAAGCACAAGTTCATTATAGGAGAGACCCTCAGATCTGGACCATTTGAATTTGTTCATTGCGTCCATAAAAGACAGGTTTTTATATTGCTTAGGACTTTTGATAATGAAAGGCCAAGTCCTAAAAAAAAGAAAAAAAAAAGATTTTAAAAAATAGATAAATACCATCAAGTTGGAACTGATGAGGAACAGCTTTTGGATAATTTACTCAGAAACACAAATGTACTACTAATGTGTATTATGCCTAACACACATTCTCACCTAAATTCTCTGCTACTGAAAATTGATGCAGTTTCATTGATCTCAACAGCCTTATGAAAGTTTGTCAGCAGTTTAGAACTTACTGACAGATGCTTTTAGAAATGAAAGACTTTAAGTTAAGAAAAAGAATTACACTGCTGTTCTCTGATCTACAAACTGAATACACAGGCAATAAAAAAAACAGATCTGCTGTTGTAATTTCTCAAAAAAAATAAAACAAAAGAAAAAGCCACACCCTTTGCTAGGCTTGGCAGACAGTGTTGCAAAGAAATGTTTGCCATTAGAAAGCTGCTGCCAAGCTTCTGGTCAGAACCCAGATAATAGGTCAAAACTCAGCCTAGCACAGGTGTTGCTCTAATATGCGCTGGTTGGCAGCAGCGTCAAATGATCAAGTGAGAATAACTGGTGTTGTGGACATTGCCTTTTGGCATGTCCCTACTTGCTGGCTGCAAGGGGACTTTTGGCCAGGGGTGGGATAGAGACCTTCTGCAGTGCTCTAAGAGATCTGACTATATGCCCATGTGTAGGAATTCTCCCCATGAACAGGTGGGGCCAATCCCATTCCCCACCAGTTGAAAATGTGGAAAGGGGAGGAATGAGGTTTCTTGTCTTCCATTTAGTAAAGAAAATTCAAAAATAATAATGAAAGAAAAATTTTTAAAAAACCAAAACACACAGCTAAAGAAAACCTTTTCCATTGTTCTTGCTTTCTCCTTATTTGACTCTACCAGGATGAATGGAAACAGCATGGCAGACTGGTCAAGTTTTTAAAAACAGAAAGTCCAATACAGCTAGTGGAAGAGTGAAAGTGGCTAAAACTTTATCTAAGTAACCTAATTAATACTTTGGTTGGAGCATGAGTTATCTTTTCAAAGCACTTCAGACATCCATATTATCTTCCAGTAGGTTGTCTCCCACTTGCTTTAGGCAAACTGCTGCCTATGCTCTACACAACATCTAGGCAGAGGACATAATTTTAATCAAGCAAGTATTTTACACTGTTGTGGCCCAATTGCTTTCCCCTCAGCTGCTCAGAATTTATATCACTGTCTGTGCCACCAGACTGAGGGAAAAAAGAGTTCTAAAGTGAACCACAGTGCCTTGATCCCGCTTCCAGTTTGCCTTTATGTGTAAGTCAAGAGAGACTTTACACGAGTCAGTGAAGGAATTCCAGTGTAAGACTGACACAAGAGAGATGAGTATCAGGTCACATATCCTTAGGCTGACAGAGCTTAATGAAACAAGAATTGTGGATTAGGTCATAAATACTAGAGGCATTAATAATCTCTTCTTCTAATTACTATTCCATTTGTGGCAGACAGTCTGCATACTTACTCTATTCAAAACATCTTTATTTCCTCAGGCCAAATGTGCATTTTTTCCTTAAGTGCAGTTATCATGAATGAACACTCGAGAGAGCATACATTTGTTAGAACATTTTCTTTCTAAGCTCAGAAAGACTCTTTTAGCTAGGACTAATTTAGAAACTGTGTTCTCCCTGTATTAAAAGAGATTGTAAATAGAAATAGTGTGGAAAATGTAGCAGACATTGATTGTGTTGTGTCTTTCTTCAAACTCTTCTGTCTTTGATATGAATTTCAGAACTAAGACTAGTAAGCCTGTACATGAAATTACTTTGCAATAATAGTTTTATATGGTTTTGTTAAGATAAACTGTATAAGGAAAGACAACTTTTAAAATTTAAATTTGATAACACACTATTAAACAATTTCATGTTAAAATCTTACTACTACTTTAGTTTATTGCAACTAACAATACAAATGTAATTCAGCTTTCACCACTAATAGTGCATTCTACTTTCTATTGTTTGATTACATTTCTGCATTTCATTCATTTGGGCACTTTCTCTTTAGATTATTCTCACTCTGTTTACAATTACTTCCTTTGATTGTAAAATTGATTTAATTTTAAGTGCTGTAAGGAGCCCTTAAAAACTGAAATACACTATTTATTGATTTTCATGTGTTCACACAGATTTATCCTGTCTATAGTGGGCTTCCTTCCATCTCCAACCAAAATTTAAATTTTATGTTAGATTCTGGAAATCATTCTGTTAAATTCTGGATATCTTTCTTGCCTTTAGTGAGCAATATCGTTGTGCAGGTCATCTCACTGACACTAAAGGGCAGAAAAGCCAGATCCAACAACACACTGAGAAGTATTTTGTTCTTGCCAAGGACTCTCATGATGAAGGACAGCAAGACTTCTGCTGATTTACTGGAGAAACTATAACGCCTTGTTTAAAATTCCCCAGCCTGTGGCATACCCCAGCAGTCAGATGTCTGCTGAATTGCATGGACCTTCATGGTGGTTATGACGGATCCTGAGTTGCCTAAATGGTAACAGTCCCTGCCCTTGCTCTTCCCCTTTTGTGCACTTTTAGCAGTGTCACCCAGCCATTGTTAAGCTCTATAGGTAGCAACAGTTCTAGGATCTGGTTGCACTGAGTGACTTAAGCATAATAACTGACAACAAATCGACCCAGGGTAATTCAATATTCATGTTCCCAAACTCCTTTTTCAAAATTATCTGTATATATGTAAAACACTGCTATGTTTTGATAAATTAATAGATTTGAAAAATCGACATTGATACATAGTCTTTTTACACATGGTTGTGGTGAAAAAAAAACCTGCTGTGAGAAGTATCATTTCTTTAACAGAAGAAACTGCTTTTTTATAAAAAAAAAAAAATGCAAAATAATTTGGCAGGAGAAATAAGTAACAGCACAGCATATTGACCAAAAAGAAGATCTATGAGTGACCCTGCAACATGTTGCACAATCAGAAAGAAATAAAGGTTGTATAAAATGACCCTGGAATCCCACAGACAGAAATAGAGGTTCTATACATATGCATAAGCATTTTACTTACCTGACTGGTCTATAGATTTCCTTAACACCAATGAACTGGAGTTGTTCCATTATATCTGGAATGCTCGCACACCGGGTGAGGTTGATTCTCGGGTAATAGAGCAGATACGACAGGCACATTTCATTCCTGGTGCTCAGACCACCCTGAAAATGGGATTTTTCTTTTAATCAAGATAGCATCGGAATCCCACAGATAAAAACACTGATTAGCATTTATATGCTAATGAAATGTATTTCAGGAGGCCCAATTCAACAGGATTTCCTTGCACATTTGGTTATCAAGTAGAAAGAAGTTATTACATAATTAGTTATAAAATACACTGCAAGCTCAGCAATAGCTCCTGAGCTTAAAAGATGTCAGAAAGAACAACTATCAATAAAATAAGACTCCTATTATGTTGAAGAGTACTATCTGAGAAGTTCAGGTTTGTTTTCAGCTGTTTCCAAGGTACTTATATCTACCATGTTTCAGAAAAAAAGGCTTCAAAGTGGAGCAGAAGTAGGAAAAATCTAGTCTGTTTCATAAGAAATTAAATGAGCTTTGTCTAGTAAAATGGAGACTGGGATGGAATATGTGTCTGTATGGACTGTCCTTGTGCGTATATATGTAGAAAAAGAGTAAGAAAGAAAAGAGTTGTTTAAGTTAACAGATAATGTTGTCTCAAGAACAAATCAGCGCTAACTATAAAATAATTAATTAGAGTAAGATTTTTAGCTAGCAGAAGAAACAGACTCTTAAACAGTCTTCCATTGAGATCCATGGGACAAACAACTAATTTAAAATTAACCTTGGTAAATACAGACAGAATTATGAGCTGCACGTTCCTAAACCCCTTGTGGGAACAATTCCACAAATCTCACAGAACCACAGGAGTAGGAATGGAGAAGACAAAACACACGAACTAAGGGCCAAGAGCTAGCGTGATCTCCACACAGGAAAATAGGACAAAAATTCAAAAGCCTTTGTTCTCATGCTTTTGTTTTTATTTATATACCTACTGCATGCACCTACACGCAAGAGGGAGAGGTATCCTTGTGCTCTCTGGATGCCAGGACCAGGTCTCCCTTGCCAAACAGAAACCTCTTAGGTCTCACCTGCTGGAGAACTGGATCCAGTCCCTCCCAAAGAAGTGGGATCAGCCCCTAGTGAACGCTGGCTGCTGGTGGCTACATCCCTCCCATAAACATAGTGGATCTGGCATCACTCTCTGGTTTTGCAGCCAGCTGGCACAATCCAGCTCATGTCCCAACAACCAAATTTGCTTCACCTCCAAACCCAAGTGTCCACATTGCAACGTCCAGCTCCTGGCCTCTGCTAACCTAACCATGCGCTGCCATGTGCCAAACCTGAGCCAGACCCTCTCAACCCTGAAGGGAATGCTTACCCCCTGGCCATGGCCTTGCCTCATCCACTGCTGTGGACATGCACCTGGGGCTGCAGCACAGCCACTCCTCATGCCCTGGCTCCCCAGGGGAGATGGTGTGGGCTTCTGCACCGCCCGGGCAGCAGCTGTCCAGAAGGGTCCCTGACACTGGAAAACCCACCACAGGAGAAGGGTAACGCACAGAGGATCACTGCACCCAGCCTCCTCCTCTCAGCCCAAAGGACCTGTGTTCTGTCTGGATTCTATGTTAGCCACAAAATCACATGGTCCCACCTTAGTCACGGCAAAAGTAAAAATCAATATGTAAAAACTGGTAATTACAGCTTCAGGGAAAAATGCGTAACAAGTTCATAAAAATAATTAATTAGAATATGCAGAATTTGCATGTTAATACATGTGATGAAGAAAGCACTCCTTATACTAGTGAAGTCTGATTTTTAAAGATCTTTTCTGAGCTGGCTAGCTCATTTTTATAAACTAGTCATTTGAATGCCTTATGCAAGAGATCAGACTATGATCATCACAGTCCTGATGACTTTAAAACCTAAGAATCTATGAAAGGAAAGAAAATACATAATTATGTGCACACAGGCATTAGCAAGTAAGTTCACATTTTTAAAGAGCATTTTATGAAAAAGATTTTAGTCCCCAATATTATCTGTGTACTTATTTTGATCCATTAAAACTTTTCTTACCCATGTCATGCGAATTCGGTCCACAGTGCTGTAGTGACATTCTGTGATTAAATTATCCCCCTGAAACACAAGATTTAGAAAGTTCACAGTTCTGAAGTTTATCAACACCAGCTTCAGGTAACCACAGGGGACAGAAAACGCTGAAGAAATAAAGATCAGAGCAGTGGATACGACTTTTTGAAAGAGCAAAGTATTAGGTAATTGGCATATGCTAAGGCCTTGGCACTTAGCATTCATATTATCCCAGATCCTCAGGGATCCTCCATGGATTTAAACTGAGTCTTATTAAGAGTCTGGTCTGTTTTGCTTTGTTTTGTTTTGTTTTTTTTCCAAAATAGCAATGGAGGTGCCTAGTTATAGTCCTATTTTCAGGAAAATTATATATGTAGACGATGTATATACATTATTCTTGCTCCAAAACTTATCCAGTGCTACTTTGGATAGCTTTCCCCAGGCTAATTTATCCTGCCAACTTCAACAGAAACACTTGCCAAATGAGGAAAATAAGGTTTTCCACATCACAATAACAACTATTTATCTGCCAAGCCTGGGAGTAGAGGAGCAGCAGGCAAAAACTTAACTACATGGACAGATATGTATGGGAAAGGCTGAATCCTTACCTTCTCAAGTACATGCAATTAACTTTTCGCTGTCTTGACAAACTGATCTACAGTTTGGTAGTACCTATATTCCCTGTACCTAATCAAATATAAATCTCCAAATCACCATGATAATCAAGTGGAAATTAAAATATTGAAGAACATAGCCAGATGTCAAAAGTCTTATATTTTTGAGCAACTTCATATCACAAGGATGACAGCAGTTTATTCGCTTTGGTTCTTTTTTTTTATCATCATCTTCCATTACCACCCATTGTACTAATCTTTGCTGAAAAAATCTTATCATCCTTCAAAGGTTGAGAATTTATCCCTTCCTGTGGGCTGCCTCATTGCCAGATCAATGCTAGCACTAACTGTACTCCAGGCTGCTGGAAGAAGGTCTCATGTCAGCCAGAGACGGAGCTTTCTGAAGCAGCGCAAACTGGCACAGCTTTGCTGCTCCCAGCCGGAATGCGCTGGTTCCCACCAACAAGATCTCTGGCTCCCATGGCTTATGGACTGCATAACATTCACTGAAAGTGTTTCTTCTCTGAGATTAGATCTTTTACTTCCAAACTCAGAAGAGAATTCTAGTACTTGAAGAAAACAAACAATCTGGACTCCACATGCTGAAAGAAAGATGTACCCTTGGAAGAGCTTGCAGAAGGAGAGAATAACAAGAACTTATTTGAAAATTTTTAATATTATTAATTGATTTGACTGTGGTCCGAATTACACCAGAATGATGTAGGTAAAGCTGTACTTACTGGTAGTTTTGCATAAGATGAAAACAATAAAAGGCATGAAAAAGACTCATTTCAGAGAAAGAATTCCAGCTTCTACTTGAGCTGTCTTTTTTAAATTGCTGATATTATCAAATACATCTTTTAGTCTTTCTGCTGTCTACTCCCTCTTGTTTTTGAATTTTAAAGAGGTCTTTCTCTATAATCTGCATGGATTTTCCTAAAAATATTACAGGCTTTCTCTGCAAACCTGTCATCTTCTGCCAGCCCTCTTCCTAAACCCTTCAACACTTCTTTCCTGGAGGAGGTAACACCAGTTTGTCTTTGAAGTCCCTGTGGAGTACAAGCAGTTGGACTTCAAAGAGTAAATGCTGCACCTGAACATCCAGGTATTGCTGTAGAAATTAAATTAGAAAGTTAGCATTTTAGCTTCTTGCCTTTAAAGGACAAATATCAAAGT